GCGCGCCGTAGTCGGTGGCCTTTGCCCGGAGGGATGGATCGGCATCAGCTTCCTCGTCGGTCAAGTGGTTGCTCAGGTGCGCCTCGAACCTGAACTTGGTAGCCTTCTGCGCCTGGAACGCGGCTTCCTTCTGGTGGCCATCGGTCCAGCTGGGGTCACCAGCAGTAGCTCCAGCACTCTCAATCCACGATGTCGAAGAGCGAGGCATCGCCAAAGCGTCCACGACGACCTTTTCCACGGCCGCCTTCCGTTTGCGAAGCCACGCCGTCGGTGTATTCGTTGACCCAGAGTTGGATGACCTACATGCCTTCCACTTGTCTACTGCTCCATCCCTGCTAACGCCGTAACACGAATTCCACACTTCTTGGGCTCGCTGGGCAATGCACAGGACTGAAGGTGTATCCTTAGGCCGATCGACAACCAATTTGATCTCATCGCATTCTGTCGATTCTGTCCCGTGCAATCTCCTGTCTCCGAAAACCCACATGCACTTTATGAAATCTTGTTCAATTCTTGAGGCGCAAGCTTTGAATGTACTGAAGCGGTACAACAGCTTCTTCAGCTCATCATTCGAGGTTCGACAATCGGCGCTCTTGTTCATGGCATCTGACTTCGAAACGGCAAACTTCCAGCCATCGAGATTGGAGCAGTCCTCAGAATTCACGCGGGACTGGGCTGTTCGCCAATGAGAACCGAGCTGGGCCTTAAGCGCGGCCCCATCAAGTTTCAATGCGCGTGCCAACTTTTTGATGTGGTGATCCCGACTGGCAATCGAATTTACACTCTCCCTAGCCCGCTGCTTCTTGAAGGAATTGCCCAAGCTCAATACACAGAAACTTTGCAGCAACTCGAACGCAGGGTACTCAGCTTTGACAACCTGAATACAAAGTTTAACCCGCCGCCCCAGATGGCGCAAATTGTTCGTCACTACATCCATTGGAACACCCCCCCCCCGATTGCCCACTGCGTTGAACTTCCCGTTGCGCATCGGCAGTGTAACTGGATTGTTTTCAAGGTGTCCAACATGAACGAAGTGTAGCTGGTAATCGTCGTGATCGTGCCCTCTTGGTACAATTCGATAACCCGAATGAGAAAGTAGTACACGTCCGAGTTGATCTCGGCGGCGTCGGCGGAGTCAAAGTCGCCAGCTCATCGAGCAAATTCCAAGCCGTCGTCGGCGGCGTCAGCCATCATGCTCAAGAGCACCGCCTTGGACGTCGCGATAGTTTCGATGAATGCCACGGCGTGGTGGGCGTCTGAGGACGTCCTCATGATACGCGCGTCGCGCGCCGTCAGGCAGAGCGGGGCGAACCAGAGCACCCACCTCACGACGCGATCAAACCAGCCGTTGCCACCAAACTGTTTCTAACACACAACAAAAACCTTAGAGCCCGGGAAGGAGGCGGAGGAGGAGGAGGCGAAGGCGAAGGAGGAGGAGGGGGAGGAGTACTAGGACCCCATGCCCGCCACGGGCGGCCCGCCCCCTCCTTCGCCCCCTCCTCCCCCTTCCGCCGCCCCCTCTCCTCGTCCTCGAGTCTTCTTCTCCTCATCCCCGTCCTCCTCCTCTCCTCCTCCTCCTCCTCCTGCTCCTCCTCCTTCTCCCAACTCAACGTTATTGTGTTTCCCCTCCCCCCATGGGAGTTGCGTGGCATGGCTGGTTCTCCCGCGACTGGCGTGGCCCCCCACGGGCGCCGCATAGCTCTCGAAACGGTGTTTCGCTGAATGGAGACTCATCAGTGAAGAGTTGTTCCGCTTGAGCCCCTGGTCAAACTGGTCGCGCCGGTGGGTGACCAGATTTCGCAACACCAGCGAATGGTCGATCTTTTGAACGAATCTGTCCTTGCGAGTAAGGAAGAACTGGATCATGGCATTTATCTGGTCGTCAGCTTTCCAGGGTCTGCTCAACATCCTGGGGCGGGGGCGACGACGACGACGGCGGCGGCGGCGGCGACGACGACGACGTCGACAACGACGACAACGACGACGATGACGACGAAGACGACGAAGACGACGATGACGTCGACGACGGCAACGACGATACGACGAATACCATGCTGGCGACAACGAAGGTGTGAGGCGCCCCGTCGCCGTTGCTGATACCGCTCCCCCATCTCTCCCTGGGGTTTAGCGCTTTTGGGGGGTATTTCGGGGGACCTTCATTCAGCGCTGTCATTCATCGCCGTCGTCGTCGTCGTCGTCATATCATGATTTCATTTTACCCTCGTTAGTCCTTCTTGCTGCATGAGCTTTGTCCCTGACCAAAGCCTCCACGTTCGGCGCGATCGGGACGTTCCCGTTCGGCGGGTCAATCATGTCCCTAACTGATGCCACCTCGTCAGACGCAGAGTCCGCGCAGACCATCCTGATCTGCTTCTTTATGTTCTCCAAGATGAAGGGCTCTAGCTTGCTCTTGGGCTCCGAACCTGGTTCTCGACGTGGAGGGCCGTGACTATTCACCGTGGCAATTCGTTCGATGATGTCTGAGGTTGCTGCTGCAATGGCAGGTGCTCCAGACCCGAGGTGTTTACGCATGCCAAGGTGACCATGAAGCGCGTTCAACTCGGGGTCGCAGGCGCAGAACCGAACGGACAGGCGAGCGTGACGCTCGTCCCGAAATATGGCGATGCAAGTGGCTCGAGACAAAAACTCTCGGTCGCGTCGCCTCAATGCCTCGGCAATACACCAAACCATCTTTTGAAACTTGTGTTGGTGGCCAACATGCTCGATTCCAGCCCTCAGAGCAGTTCCTTTGCAGATCGTGTCCCACACCTTCACCAACATGTCTGCTGGGGGCGCTCCAATAACGACATTGCCAGTGGGGCCCGTGATACCGCCGTGCTCTTCCAAGTATTTTCTGGTAGCGGCCTGGCGTTGCTTAGTACGGTGATGTTTCCTGAGGTTCACCAACTGCAGAGCATCGCTGGTTGTCACGGCACAGGCGCCGCACGGACCTGGCGCCTGCGCTGCTTTGCAGCACACGCACCCCAACCCCCATTCACCAGAGGAACTGACGTGCCCAATCATCCATGTAGCAGGGACGATGCCGAGCATATTACAACCCAAATCACTATGGATCGCCAGCTCTCTGGTCCATTGGCGCTCGTGGCTGATGTACTTGCATCTGGCGCAACCAGGGTTTTTGCAATATCTGTGATGAATGATATCATCTGCCAGCCCATGCCGCTGGTTGCCCTTGTCAAGTCGTTCCACCATGTGGGCCAATATTCGCGCCCGCCTGGCCCCAGTGACGCACAACCGGCGAGACCGCTTAAGATTCTTAGGGATCACATGTCGGTGCAACTCCATGCGTGGGGCAGAGCGACAAACAAGAATTGAATTACTGAGCCAAAGCTGCTGCGGACATCACCATCATCATCACATTCATCGTCGCCATCATCATCGTCCATCCATCACCCTACGAAGACCCCCCCTCCTTGCGCGAAGCTCCAGTGAGCGAAAAAACAGGGGATTCCACCCTGCCCGCCCCCGCTCCTCCAGCCTCCTCCTCCTTCTCTTCCTCCTCATCGAACCTCCTCCTCCTCTTCCCTCCCTCCTCCTCCTCCTCCTCCTCCTCCTCCTCATCTCCTCCTCCCTCCCCTCCTCCTCCTCTCTCCTCCTCCTCCTCCTCCTCCTCCTCCTCCTCCTCCTCCTCCTCCTCCTCCTCCTCCTCCTCCTCCTCATCCTCCTCCTCCTTCTCCTGCGTCCCCAGGCGCGAACTGCGGCTCCAGTGGAGCGAGACCCAGCCCTATGCAGTGAGCTACCACACCTCTCAACACGACCGCGCGCGCTACCACGCCTCTCAACACGACCGGTCGTTCAGGAATTCTCGGGCGTCCCTCTGAACAGGACCGGACGTTCAGGAATTCAAGGTCGTCCTGGCCTCTGAACACGACCGGACGTTCAGGAATTCCTGAACGTCCGGTCGCGTTGAGAGGTATATCCTCCTCCTCTTCCTCCCTTTTCCTCCCTCCTCCTCCCTCCTCCCTCCTCCCTCCTCTCTGTCGCCCTCCCTCCTCAGCTCAAATTCCTGAACGTCCGGTCGTGTTCAGAGCCCTGGAAGCCAGGAGCCAATGAATTCCTGAACGTCCGGTCGTGTTCAGACGCCTGGCGACCGTGAGTTCCTGAACGTCCGGTCGCGTTGAAGGGCGGGATGCTTAAATGTGAGCTTTCTCCGGAGACGAGCGTTTAAGTTGCTAGACTTCTCAGTAACCTCGCGGCCCCTTCGAGGCCATCCTCCAAGTCCCATAGGCGGGCCTGTTGAGCCAGAGTGGTAGCGCTACCACCCTGGCTCAACGCGACGGGAGCTCCCGTCGTGTTCACTACCACGCCTGGTGGACCCAGGCCACTCTCGAACCCTGACCTCAGTCGCGCTGGCCAGCGTGCGAGGCGCGTGGTAGTGAACACGACGGGAGCTCCCGTCGTGTTGAGCCGCGGTGGTAGCGCTACCACTCCGCCTCAACAGGCCCATTGGCTGATCTTGAGATGGCCAACAGCCAACGGCCTGACGTCAGCCATGTCTTTATCTTGAGGCTCTCTTCAGAAGGCGATCCTTATCTGCGGCGGCTGTCCAGGGTCTGAGGAAGGAGGAAGGAGAGGAGGGAGGAAGGAGAGGAGGAAGGAGGAAGGAGAGGAGGAAGGAATGAATATGTCTGCTTGTTGCTGCGACGGTGGGCCGAGCTTGATTGGCTTCAGCTCTGGCCCTCAGCTCTGTTGTCGAACAGACACCTGGCAACTAACTGCTGCACTGCCCTACCACTATGGGCCAGCCCGCATGCGTCCACGCGTGAGTAGGCACACTCGAGTCAAGCAACGCGTTGGCAGTCTGCTTCTTCAAACGCTGCGGATCCCCCGCAACATCTCATGACGCATTCGACGACAAGCGTCGCACTACAACCAACTCCTAGGTGCATAGAGTGTGTTCTGCAATGCCAGAAAGCTACCAGATGCCTGAAAAAAACGAGCTCAAGAGCGTGGTCGACCTGACGATGAGGCAATTCCGTTCATTCGACGTTGCTCAGAAGGCTGGCCAAGGCACCTGCTGCGGACCCGCTGGCGCCAGCATCGACACCGTCAGCGCCGCCGTCGGCACCCTCACTGCCGCTTTCGTCGCCCTCCTCGGCGGCGAACGCTTCTGCCAGAGGTCCCGCGCCGGACTCCGCAGCGGTCTTGGCGTGGGCTCTCTTCTTCGCCTCAGCTTTTGACTTCCGCTTCGCCGCCGCCGCAGCCTTCTTAGCCTCAACCTCGATCTTGCGCGCCTCCTCGGAGTTGGGGCCATCGCCCTCGTTCGTCTTCCCAGCCAAGAACCTGGCGTAGTTTGCGTGGTAGTGCTTGTGGCCCTCCGTCTTCATCATCACCATGAACTCCTTCACGAGGTGGGCCATTAACATCTGCTTGTGCTCTTCGTTCTGGAAGCAGATGCCCAGGTACCCGATGCCCTTCCCGACGCAGTGGGGCGAGAAAACGCCACCGCCTGGCGTCAGATCCATGACTACTTTGGCGTAGTAGCTCGTCGTCAGCTCCTGGTAAAACTCCTTCGGCAGCTGGTGCCAGTTCACAGGCTCCGCACACACGTTCTTCTGAATGCCGCCGCTGCCCCTGCCCCCTCCGGCGATCTGGATATTGAGCTCTGGCTTGGGGATCTGCGCGTGGTTGCGGGTTGCGACGCCGTCCTCGTCGCCGCTCCCCTCGCCCTCGTCTGACGCATCTTCAGTGTCGATAGTTTTTCCACCCGCTGGCTTGCGGTTCGGACCGAGGAACTTCTTTTTGTCCTCGAACGGCAACTTCCAGCTGTCGTCCCACGACTCGTAGGTGATGGGGCCCATGGTGTCCCCGTTGTTGGGGCCAGGGTAGACGGCGCGCTTCTTCTCTGGGGTGACTGTGTCGATGGCGCGGTAGAAGTGAACGGTCTGGAGCTGCTTCAGAGACGAAATGCCCCGAACCAGAGCTCGACGGCCCTTCAAACTATCCTCGTCGAGGAACATGTGGGTCATGTTCCTCGCGACTCCCTCTGCCTGGCACGCGCTCTTCCAGCGACCCCTCCCTGTGACCATGATCTTGTTGATGACGCCCCCGGCGCCTCGCGTCGAGGATCGACCGCGCCCGCCTTCAAAAACTCACGACATCAAAAACTCGCCAGATTGAAACCCTGAAACCCGAAAGACAAAAACACACAGAGTCCCTGAGAGGCCCCGGGGGGATGGCAGGTGTTCGGTCTATCCGCGTACCTTTCTTGCCTCCGTCCAAGTACATGCACGCGCCCCCCTGGCTGAGGCGCCCGCTGTCATGGCCACCCCTGCGCCTGGCACTGATCACAGAGTTGAACAGCCGACCCAACTGATCCTTCCGGAAGGGCGCAGCACGAAGATGAGGCGCAGTCACCGGCTCGCCACTCAGCGTAACGCCCGCGTGGACAAGGATATGGCCTGTCATGTCGCCCTCCTCCATGCCGAGCGTAGTTTGCGCGATAGATGCCTGCAATGCTGCTTCGCTCTTCCCAGAGTCAGAGATCAGCTTCACGTAATCGGAGACCTTCTTCTGTGCGAACCTCAAGTACCACGCATCCACTGCGCCCTTGTTCCCTGGATCTTCAAGCGAGGCGGTGAAAGTCTGGGTCAAGGCTGGATCCCCCTCCTGACCTGCTGACAGCCGCGTGCGCTTCCTCGCTGGCCCCCCCTCGGCTTCCACCTTGTCGATCTCCTCGTCCTTCTTGGCCTTCTCAGCGTCATCAGCTGTCTGGCACTCCCAGACCTTGTCGATCTCCTCCTTATTGCCAGCGTGCTCCAACGTCTCCTCGGTGGACTTGCCCTTCCGGCAGCAGTAGCGCAGCTGCTGGTCGTACCCCCTCCCGAACGCGAGCCCCTCCGTCAATTCGAACATCGCCTTCTCGGAAGTCACTGCGCTAACCTTCCAATTGCTGTCGACCTCGATGTCACCGGCCAGCGGCTCCACTTTCGTCCTGTACAAACGGTGTGAACTGAAAACTTCCTGGACAAACGCTTGCAGTTTGGGAGACCTGTACACCGCCAAAAACTCCCCATGCGTCAAGAACTCCCGGAGCTCTTTCTTGAACGCCAGCACATCAATCAGGCCCTTGTTGCCACCGATACCATCTTTCAAGTTCTTGAGCGTGATCTCTCCGGTGTGCATGGCGCCAGACTCGCAGAGATCTATGATGCCGTTCAAAACCCAGTTGATCATCTTCTTGTCCTTGTTGCACCTCGAGACAATCAGGCTCAGCTTGTATACGCTCTCGAAGGGCCCCGATGAACCCCACTTAAGGGTTGCCATCCGGATGGCTGCGAGGTTGGGTTCGTACTTGATGGTGAGATCGACGACAGACGACGCCGACTCGATGAAGGTCTTCGTGATCGGCTCCGCTTTCGAGTTCAACGCGATTTCCTTCTTGTACCACTCGAATAACGTATCGTTAGAGATCTTCTTTTCCTTGCCGCCGGTACCCCCAAGCCTTGCAAGTTTGGACCTGGTCTGCATAACCTTCGGGGCGCCACTGAAAACTGCCGCCACCGCCTGACGTGACACACCCCTCGGGCCCGCTGACGAGGCCCCTGGAGCCCACAAGGGCTCACCCCCAAAACCCAGAGACGCACCGTTGCTGTCGAGGTGGCGGTGGCGTTTCTTTCAGCGATGCCCAGAGCCTCGCAGATACGCTGGAGCGTGTCGCGCCCGACAGCGGTTGCCTCTGACATGACCTGCTCCCTGAGGTTGATGCTGCGGGACCACGCTGTATCATCCTTGGCTTTGTGGACCTCAAACTGGAATGTCGTATTCAAGATATCCTTGCGGTACCCCTCGAGCGTCTGCTCCGATGCGCCATGCTCGATCGCGTCTTTGATGGCCAGCAGGCGTGCAAAGAAAGGTTCCTCTGGCGACAGGCGCTCCCAGTTGCCAGCGTTGGTCACGGGGTTGATTGCGGGGTCATCCGCGGCAGCCACGACGACGCCAACGTAGAGACCAGGCTCCCGGAAGCACGCGTGTTTCAGCTCCTGGATGTACGTCTCGTTGTAGGGAACGCCACCGTGGAAGGTGAAAAACAGGTTCCGGTTCCACTCGCTGGATGCGCACGTGTGCTTCTGAGTTCCGTTGGTCAGATCGTACTGGTACCTCTCCATGTTGAAAGCTGGCTGCGCTGGCCCCTTCCAGAAGACGGTGTCGAGCGCCTTCATCGCCCGCCGCGATCGGCTTGAAAACCTCGTGCTGCTTGACAATGTTCATCGCAGACGTCACGTGAGCGATGAACTCCGCGTTGATGTTGTCAACGGGGTCAGCACTCAGCCTCGCCAGCTGTCCGACAGCCACACTTTCCGCCATGACACAATGACTGCGTGGTGTACAAGTACTGAGACTCAGAGTGTCAAAGCGAAAGCTCAGAAACAGCCGAGCTCAAGCTGCGGCCAAAAGGGTCACGGAGGAGGTGGAGCAGTGGAGGGGCGGAGATGGGTGAAGAGAGTTGAGGAAGAAGGGAAACGGGAGTGATGGCCCTGTTGAGGGTCCCACGAGGACCTCGTTTGTGAAGAAGTCAGCTTCTCCCCTCCTCCTCCTTCCCTTCCTCCTTCTCCCCCTCCTCCTCCCGCGCATCCTCCCCCCGCACCTCCTCCTCCTCCTCCTCATCATCATCACCACCATCATCCTCCTCCCCCCTGCTGCTGCCGGCGGATTTCGGGGATTGGTTCCGGGGCGAGAAGATCACTCGAGGGACGGGGTCGAGAGCTTAAGAACGCCGTAAAGACAAGGCCCCGCGGCTCGAAATCCACGTGGACAGATGAGGTCGAGAGCCATTGATGACGATGATGATGATGATGTGATGATGCTGATGATGATGTTGTTGCGCTTTTTATGTTCACTCTATGGCAGTCACTTGCCCCTGCGCGTCCTGCGTAGCTGTACCTGCGCCGGCGCTGACTGACCACGCGAGTTTAATCTACACCAGCGCGCCCCGGGACGCGACGATGCCGATGTGGCCGAGGACGCTTCGCACCAGCGGGCAAAGCGCGTTCACAGACATGGCGTTGCCCATCATGCGCCCCGCCCTCTGCTCGCTGACTTTCGCCTTCTCGAGCAGGTCGGCCTTGAAGTACCCGGCGCTGTAGCCTTGCAGCTGGGCAAGCTCGCCCATGGTGACTTGTCTCCCGCGCGGCAGAATCCAGTGCCCCATGATAGCGCCGCGGCTCGCAGTGATCGTCGGGAAGGCACCCACTTTGTAGTTCAGCCTTTTGGTTGTGCAGCCGATGTCGATAACGATGTCCTTAGCCAATGCCACTCGTAGATCGCACTCGTCAGTGCACCGCTTGGCGAGATCTCTGACACATCCAACCACGTTGGCGCGCGCGCGCTCTCCTTGGGAGGCAACCCGTTCGCGATGGCGTCGACCCCCGCCATGGTGGGCATTCCGACGATGTCACGAACCAGCCGGTGCACGCCGGTATAGGCGGGCCACTTGAACTCCTTCTTGGCTTGCTTCAAGTCTGATCGGAAACCCGCAACGTAGATGCGCTCCCTCTCTTGAGGGATTCCGAAGTCCGACGTCTTCAGCGCCTTGTAAGAGACCGAGTAGCCGCACTCCTTCAGGCACTTCAAGATGCACTCCCACACCTCTGCGAACTTGTCGGACAGGATGCCGTTGACCATCTCCAAGATGAACGCCTTAGGCTTCACCTCCTCGATCGTCTGCACAGTCTGTAACCAGAGTTTGCCGCGATCGTCATGGGGCCCATCTCCTTTGCCTCCCTTGGACCAAGGCTGGCACGGCGGCCCCCAGGCGTACAACTCGATGTCCTTCGGGAGCTGTTTGTTGTCGCGCTCCGTGATGTCTTCATGGATCCCCGAATCAGGGTCCCCATATAGTTCTTTGAGGAGCCTCCTGCAGCTAGGGTTCTTCTCCGAACTGAAATGCCAGCGGTATGAAAACGATTCAGCAGTGAGCGCCGCCAAGACCGAGTCGCATCCAGCAAAATCACTCGCATAGGTCACATCCCACGAAGTGTTCTTGGATCGTCGAACCTTCTTCATCGGCTCCTCCTCCTGGACGCTGGCGGCGGCGGCGGGCCTCTTCTTGACCAGACGCGCGACAGCTGCAGGTCGCATTACAGAAGCCTTGGGACGTGGCACTGGCGGGGCCGCTGCGTCTTCAGAGTCAAGTTCGTCCTGCCACAGAAACGCCATCACAATTGTGGGTAGTATGTATGTGCGAGACACAACAATGCAAACGTGAGTCGCGCTAGACGAGCCATAACAGGCTTCGGACGGGTGACATGCGATGGATGATTGACGATGATTGACGTGCCCCAAAGGATGTTTTGTTTAACCTTATGTCTCTGGACAGTTGTCGGGGTGGCCCCTCCCCCTCCTCCTCCTCTTCCTCCTTGGTCCTCCTCCGCCCCATAGCCGCTTTGGCTCAAAAAGGTGTCGCCCGCCGTCGGCGGCTACTGTAATGGTGGTTATTTCCAGCGGCCATGCCGGACCTCCGCCCAGCATTCTCCCTCGGTCGAAAGCCATGCCGCGACCGCAACAGTGGGCGAGAGGAAAGCCACAAGGACAGCGAGCGCAAGGACAGGGAGCGCGGCAAGGACAGCGAGCGCGGCAAGGACAGCGAACGCAAGGACAGCCACCACCGCAAGAAGGACAGGGAGCGCAAGGACAGCGCGCGTAAGGACAGCGAGCGCCAGGACAGCGGCCGCCGCAGCCGCGGGCGCAAGGACAGCCGCCGCAGCCGCAGCGGGCGCAAGGACAGCCGCCTGGCAGCCGCGACGACGGGAAGAGCAGCAGCAGGATGCCGACGACGCCCAAGCGGCATCATCCGCCTGGGGAGCGGAGCTGGCCAGCGGGGGCGGCGGCGCCGCGTGACGACAGCAGTAGCCCCGGACGTCGTCGTGACCATCGTGGTGAGCAGAGCATTGTCAGCAAGATGAAGATCACAGCGAGGCTACACCGCAATGTCAGTTCGAGCCCATTCCGCGGCCCGCTTGGGGAGTGGTCGGGTGGCCAAGATGGCCGCCCTTGCCCTTCGTGGATGGGTGGCGCCGCGCGGAAACGTCGAATGGAGCTACCTTCGCCGGACCTCGTCAAGTACTTCAGCGACGAGCGTGTGCCACCGCCGCCGCCATCCCCGTCGCCGAGTCTCTAGGTCTCTAGCCGTCGAGTTGTTGCCGCCCTGCGCTTTGTACAGCGGCGCGTCAAGAAGATGTTGTCTACGGGCGTTAGATTGAAAAGCTCTTGCCTGGCATGCTGGCCGTCGTCTCCCGAGGGTCGAAACGCAGGAGGGGGCGGGAGGCCGATGAGAAGGAATGGGCGGGAGGAGGAGGGGGTGTGTGGAGGAGGGGGCTCGACAACGGGTTCAAATCAAATCCCATGTGTCCGATCTGTAGCCGTTTTGGCTCAAGCCTCTACTGATGCTCACTTGTTTCACAGTGAAAGCAGGGACCATCACTCTTCTCAGCGAGTCGGCTGCTCGGAAAGCAGCGCGGCGGGCAGCTCGTGCAGCGACGGCGTCTGACGCCGCGATACACCGGTCAAGGACGCCGCCGAGGACACGGATCTGTCCACCGCCGAGCCGCCGCCGGAGCCGTCCACCGAGCCGTCTACCGAGCCGTCCACCGAGACGTTCACCAACGCGTCCACCGAGCCGTCCACCGAGACATTCACCGAGACGTCCACCGAGCCGCAGGACACCGAGGACACAGAGCCGTTCACTGAGCCGTCCCAAGACACCAAGCCGTTCAAGAACACCGAGCCGTTCACTGAGACGCCCCAAGACAACGATCCGTTCGAGACGTCCCTTCATGGAGGCCGACCCAGTCCAAGACGATCAACTTGCGAGTGGTGTTATCGAGGTCTTCATTCCAGATACGGAGCCAGGGGGTGAGCATTGGATTGGCGTGAATGGTGGTCAACCCCCAATACGAAGCGACAAACTGCTCGTGGCCGTCAAAGAGATCGAGTTCCCAGATCTAGACAGGACTAAACTCAATATATCATGGTACAAAAAGGACAAGTACGGCAACGTGGTGATGGGAGAAGATCTGTTTCCGTTGCGAGTGATGATCCCGAGCGGCTCTAAGGTCATGGTATGGCAGCGAGGACAACCTTACGCGAACCTCGTGTATGATAAAAGGGTTTCGCGAGTTGCCCTTGTGGCGGCCATCCCCGCCAACCGCCAGCGACGGCTTAGCATTGCCAAGAGGTTCTCTGAGGTCCGCATTCTCCGCCAGCATCATCCAGAAGCCCCATGTTGGGAAGAAAGCAAAGAAGTGTGCTCATCCAGACTTCTCGTTTCATGTGAATAGCGACAATTCCGTCGGCAAAGGGATGTACTGTTGCGAGAAGTGCGAGGGCCTGCATAAAGGCGAGTCTTGGGCGCAGAGCAAGAGGGGCAAGCGCCACTACAAGAACTGCGAGCAGATCGTGTTTCGCTCTGCCTAGCGCTGCAGCTGGAAAAATACAGCATCCCCCCTCCTTCCATCAACTCCTCCTCCTCCTCCTCCTCCTCCTCCTCCTCCTCCTCCTCTCCTCCTCCTCCTCCTCCTCCTCCTCCTCCTCCTCTTCCTCCTCCTCCTCCTCCTCCTCCTCCTCCTCCTCCTCCTCCCCCTCCTCCTCCTGGCGTCCAACCCAAAGAGGAGCACCGAGACTCCCTAGGGGGTGATAAGGATGAGGCGGCCCATGCGGCGGGGGGCGAGGAGGAGGAGGAGGAGGAGGAGGAGGAGGAGGAGGAGGAGGAAGAGGAGGAGGAGGAGGAGGAGGCAGAGGAGGAGGAGGAGGAGCCTGAGGAGGAGGAGGAGGAGGAGGAGGAGGAGGAGGAGGAGGCAGGCGCTGAAACGGGTGAAGCATTCCTTACGTAGTCAGCCTCCATGCACGAGTTTCCCTGGGAAGGTCACGCGCCACCGCCTGTCCAGGGGCGGGGGGCTTATTTCCTTAGCGGGACGTGGTTTGCTCAGGTGAACTACCCCCCTCCCGCCCCAAGCATTCCTAAATACCACTGTGGCTGAGTAAGCCGGGCACAGCATGCCGGACTGTCGCGTCGAAGGCGCGCGGACGGCCGGCACGCCGCACCCCGAGGTCGAGGATCGCCTCCCCGCGCCGGGCCTCCAGCGGCTGGCCGCAGGCGGCGCAGGGGCCCGGCTGCTGGTTCGCCGCGCCCGGCGCGTCGCACGGGCCGCAGCGCCGCGCCCGCCGGTCCCGCGCGGGAGCGGGAACTTGGCGGGCCGCGTGGAAGCCGCACTCGGCGTGAATGCGCCCCCGCACATCCTCGACATCCCTGCTGCGGGCTTAGGCGCCCCCACCGCAGAGACATCGAAAGGCGTGGCGCGCTTTGTTGCAGAGCGGCTCGTCGCAGACGCGGCCCACGCGCGGGCCGGTGCGTGCCCGGTTGCTGCAGCAAGCTCCGGGCGGCGCGAGGTGCTGGCCAAGGAACTCGCGGGCGGTGCTGCAATAGTCCGCGTTGCCGATGCGCTGTCCCGCGGCGCCCGGCGGGGCCAGCTGCCAACCTCCAGCGCGCGGCCCCCCGCAGGAAGCCAGCCTCGCCCGGTCCTCGCTGGTGCTGGTGCTCCGCAAGGCCATTTAAAAGGTTTTTCTGGCCCAGTCGCCGCGTGAGCTCCTTCTGCACCTTGGTGCGAGGTTGTTGGGCGAGGCCAAGCGGGCGGGGGGTCCGCTCCCTCCCCTGGCCCACACCAGGGCTGCGGCAGCGCCACCAGGAGGCGCGCGGCCCTGCAGGAGGCCGCCAAGGGCTGCTCGGCCTCCTCCAAGTCGTCCAGGGCGGCCAAGCCCGTGCGGGCGCGCACCTCTGAGAGGCTTTGCGCCCAGGAGCCGACCCACGCCGCAGGCGTGAGCTGCTCCTGGCTGCGGAAGCCCCGGCCGCCCAAGCGCAGCGGGAGTCTGCACTGCGCGCGTTGGTGCTCAGTGAGCGGGTCCAGGCGAGTCAGGACGATTCCATGAGAACTGTTGGAAATCAGTAAAGCCGATTGAGGGGCCGTCAAGGCAAATCAGCCCAGATCAAGCCCAAGACTAAGTCGGATTCAGGATTAAGCTGAATTTGACGAAATTGTACCAGATCGGGCATATTTTCGAAAGCGAATGTACCAACGCCGATGCTGAATCTAACTTCCCAAGACGTGCGTCCCAAGGGAGGGAGGCCACCGACTTGGAGGCGGCAAAGGGGTCTGAACTGGTTGGGACTCGGAAGCATCCGTCAGGGGGGGTGGGATGGAGCCAAATCCGCGCAAAATCCATCCCAAGGCCCCTCGCGGGGTCTATCTGGTGCAGTTTTTCATCCCGGATCAGTTTTTGCTTGTCTTGGGCCCGAAGACGGTCCCCGGAGGCCCAAAGAAGGCAAAAACCCTTCCAGAACCCAGCGCCTTGACCCTACCTCCCCTCCTGCTGGTTGGAAACAGTGCTGGGCCACTTCAGACCCCCCTTCGGCTCCAGAGTCCCAACAGTGCACGGAGGCTTCCGTCCCCTCCCCTTCCTCGCGAGGCGGCGGCGGCGGCGGGGGCGCCCGGCAGCTCGTCCACGCCGCCCGAGCGGCCCCGGCCGCCGGCGCGCCCCCGTCCGCGGGCGCGCCCACGGCCTCGCGCCGAGGCGCCTGGCGACGGCGCGCGCGCCGTCGAGGGTGGGCGGAGGTCGGGGGGCGGGCATGCTGCTTGTTTTGGGCTCTGCATGTCATGAGCGTCTACCTCGGCACACACACACACACGAAGACGCATATGGCCTGAGTGTGGCTCCCCTGCTGGCGGTTGCAGCCTCTCTTGCCGCCCGCCTCGCGCGGCCCCACTTCCCTGTGCCTCGCAGCTGTGCCCGGGCGCGCCCCGCCGCGTCCGACCACCGTCTGCTGCTCTTGCGGCCCCCGGCTGCACAAGCTCGGACCCTGCGGGCTGCATGTGGAAGAGGTAGGGAGGTGGGACCTGCTCCAGAACAGGAACATACCGTAGACGGATATACCCTCTCTTCGACAGCGAATGTACCGGCCTCGCTGTCCATAGACGCATACACCCCGAGCGTGTCTGCATAGAGAGCGACATCCAATGCGCCGATAGACGCTAATGGCTGAACAAAGAGAGCGGTACTCCGCATAGGCCCCATATATTTCTCCTCCAGAAACAAATAGACTTTGCCCTCCAAGTGCTAGCTGGGGAAGAGATTGGGAGCAGCGACACCTCGAAAACCAACTCTCAAACGACGACGACGCGCGCCATCCGAGGGGCACCTATCCGCCAGAAATGTTCTAAGAACATTTCGTGGAAACCACAAAATGGTCTTAGGACTTGTTTGGTCGGGCTATATGCGAGCCAGGACGCTTCGCCACTGCGTGAACAACACGACCTCAGATCGACCCGTGACGGTCCCGGGCGGGGCTCGACGAGGAAAAATCGCCCGCTGTGAACAAATAGTGGCGCCAGGGACTCAGGGTTCATCCTTGGAGGCGGCCCGGTGGTTCGAACTGCATGGGCCCTGAGCGAATCAATGAAAAAATGGATGAAGACAAATCCAATCGAAATCGATTCCTGCACCCCTCCCGTGTCCGTCTGGCGCAGTTTTCCGACCCAGATCAACGCTTGAAGGTCCCATTGCCCGACAACGACCCCCAAATGCAAAAAAATACACAAAACCTTCCCGAGCTCAGCACCTCGAACCTCGCCTCCGCACCTCAGACCCCTGGCCGACAACCAAGTTCCATCGCTTGAACCATCCCCACCCCGCTCGCCCTGGGGGGCGATTCGGACGCATCCCGATCGAGGATGGAGGCCCCTTGTCGTATATACCCGAGCTGGGCCCCAAGTTTTTGGGCCGATCGACAACTACACAAAGTTTGAGATTGGGGTCGTCATGCCTTCCAAGCTCCATCGTTGAAACGACCCCCCGCGTGGGGATGAGACAGGCTGGGCCCTCCGGGCCTCAAGGGGGCCACTTCTCCCCAGCTGGGGTGGCGGGTGGGGCTGAGCTACCATGGCCCGGCAGGGATGGGGATCGTCGGCGGCGAGCCCAGGGAGAAATCGGAGGGGGCGGGCATGCTCAGAAGGCTCGGAGGGCCTCCGGCCGTCTGAGAAGTTTTTCCCAACCATCCTGTGGTGTTGGGTCCTCGTTTTGAAGAGACGGTGCCCCGCGTTCCTTCCTCCTTCCTCCTCCTCCCGCTGCCTCCTCCCTCCTCGTCTCATCATCATCAGCATCATCGTCATCACCCACCATCATCATCATCGTCATCGTCATCATCATCAGCACCAACATGGTCGTCATCATCACCATCACCCTCCGCATGCTTCTATTTCGGCACACCCATCACACGGTTCGTGGCCCCATAGGGAGCTCCACCGAAGCCCCCAGTGGCAGGGTTCGCATGGCGGCCCCGCCCCATTTTGGCGCACCCCTCACACAGTTCGTGGCCCCATAGGGAGCTCCACCGAAGGCCCCAGTGGCAGGGTTCGCATGGCGGCCCCGCCCCATTTTGGCGCACCCCTCACACGGTTCGTGGCCCCATAGGGAGCTCCACCGAAGGCCCCAGTGGCAGGGTTCGCATGGCGGCCCCGCCTCATTTTGGCGCACCCCTCACACGGTTCGTGGCCCCATAGGGAGCTCCACCGAAGGCCCCAGTGGCAGGGTTCGCATGGCGGCCCCGCCCCATTTTGGCGCACCCCTCACACGGTTCGTGGCCCCATAGGGAGCTCCACCGAAGGCCCCAGTGGCAGGGTTCGCATGGCGGCCCCGCCTCATTTTGGCGCACCCCTCACACGGTTCGTGGCCCCATAGGGAGCTCCACCGAAGGCCCCAGTGGCAGGGTTCGCATGGCGGCCCCGCCCCATTTTGGCGCACCCCTCACACGGTTCGTGGCCCCATAGGGAGCTCCACCGAAGGCCCCAGTGGCAGGGTTCGCATGGCGGCCCCGCCTCATTTTGGCGCACCCCTCACACGGTTCGTGGCCCCACAGGGAGCTCCACCGAAGGCCTCAGTGGCAGGGTTCGCATGGCGGCCCCGCCCCATTTTGGCGCACCCCTCACACGGTTCGTGCCCCATAGGGAGCTCCACCGAAGGCCCCAGTGGCAGGGTTCGCATGGCGGCCCCGCCCCATTTTGGCGCACCCCTCACACGGTTCGTGGCCCCATAGGGAGCTCCACCGAAGGCCCCAGTGGCAGGGTTCGCATGGCGGCCCCGCCCATTTTGGCGCACCCCTCACACGGTTCGTGGCCCCATAGGGAGCTCCACCGAAGGCCCCAGTGGCAGGGTTCGCATGGCGGCCCCGCCCATTTTGGCGCACCCCTCACACGGTTCGTGGCCCCATAGGGAGCTCCACCGAAGGCCCCAGTGGCAGGGTTCGCATGGCGGCCCCGCCTCATTTTGGCGCACCCCTCACACGGTTCGTGGCCCCATAGGGAGCTCCCCGAAGGCCCCAGTGGCAGGGTTCGCATGGCGGCCCCGCCTCATTTTGGCGCACCCCTCACACGGTTCGTGGCCCCATAGGGAGCTCCACCGAAGGCCCCAGTGGCAGGGTTCGCATGGCGGCCCCGCCCCATTTTGGCGCACCCCTCACACGGTTCGTGGCCCCGTAGGGACATAGGGAGCTCCACCGAAGGCCTCAGTGGCAGGGTTCGCATGGCGGCCCCGCCCCAGTGTGGCGCACCCCTCACACGTTTCTTGGCCATATTGGGAATTCCTTTTGCTTCGTCCCACCTGCCCTGCGGTATTCACGTTTGCATATGGTTGGGTCCTTCGCCAGGATAATTGTCCAGCAATCTCCGAGAGCGTGGACGGCTTCTCGGAAGGCCAGAGGGCTTCTGAGAAGGCCTGCCGCCTTCTGAGAAGGCCTGCCGCCTCTCGACTTCCCCCCCCCCCGGCGCGCCACCGAGATAGGTTAAACAAGACTGGCCCCTCTCACGCCCGATCCTGCCGACGATCCTCAAAACATACGTCTGGGCCAGCGCGTGCTGGTCCACGGAAACCCTTCGAATACTACGCAGGCGGTGCACTGCGGGCCGATCCTGACCGCGTGCTGACGGTGGAGCTGTGCACAGGTTAAGCTCTCGGCTAACACACTTTTTGCGTCGGCGGCTAGGCAGGGGACGTCTGCGCTGGCGATGGATCGTGCCTCAACGGGGATGCCTTTACAGCGAATTGCGCCACGATGCCAGAGGAGGAGCGGGGGGAGGGCGCGGCCGAAAGGGGGGCGGACGGAGCGAGCGGTTCGGGGGGGACGTGCCGCTCCCGAGGATAACCGATCCTGAAAACAATCTATCCTGCGATGCGCGGCGCTCCGCCAACGCACGTCCTGAGAATCCTCGATCCTGGCCGCAGGGGCCGAGCCCGAGGCCTCGCCCGGCGGCATGCCGCCCCCCGCCGCGGCACGCGGCTTGCCCCAGGCTGAAGAAGCGGCGCGCGCCGTCGGGCCTGCGCTCCTCGACGCGGATGCCTCCGGCGAGCGACGGCGAGGGCGGCGGGCGACGACCGGCGACGGCGAGAAAGTCTGGCTCAAGAATTGCGATGTTCCAATCTACGTTGGTGTTGATCGCCAGGAAGAGTTCCGAGGACAAGGAAAGTATCGAAACTGCAGGGTTTTTGCGCGTCGGGCCCCGGAAGGCGATACGCGTTCGACGCTGTTTCGATGCTGTTCAGGGTGCTCGAAATGTAGACGCATCCACCCCGCATGCGTCTGTAGACGTAGCAACATCCAATGTGTCTGTAGACGCTTGTGGCTTCAGAGTGAGACTGGCATTCGGCACAGGCCGGAGACAGTAGCCTCCTGGAAGCAGGTGGGCTCTGCCCTCCCATATATACAGGTGCCACTGGCCAGGGGTGCCGAATCCATGCGCCGCGCGCCGCGCGAACGAGTAGAGGAGGGGACGACAGTCAGGAACGGCGAGATGGTCTGGCCCAAGAAGGGTACCTTCGACGCTTTCTGGGGTGCCTCAGGTCGAGCTAGGGGGCTTCAGGTCGGCCAATGGGGGTGGCCTCAGTTGTCCGACGAACCCTTCCAGCATCCGCGACGAAGGCGGCAAGCGACGAGGGCGAAAGCGAAGGCGCCGACGTCCGCGACGACGACGACGCGCCGACGACGACGACGACGACGACGGCGACATGGACGATCACATGGACGATCACATGGACGATCACATGGACGACGACGAGCGATAGCGACCTGGACGACGACAGGCGACGGCGACTGTGCCGATGACAACGACGACCTGCACGACGACGGCTTGGGTGCATAGCTGAAGAACCGCCCTCGTATACAGCACGCCTGCACGCGAGGCCCTTGGGCATGCGCACCTGGAGCAGGAGCCAAACAGGGAGGGGCTGTTCAGTCAACGCCTCCGAAACGCCAAAAATGGGGTCGCGTGCTTTCCCTCCTTTGGATAGGGGCTCAGATGAAGACACGGCAACAACGCTAGCGACAACGGTGACGATTCTACTACTACTCCAGATTCTCCGCCGTCTTAAGACTACTTCTACTACTACTGCGAATCGTCGTCGTCGCCGTCGTAGTGACAGTGGTAGTAGTAGTCGACGCCGTCGTAGTAGTGGTCGTCGAAGAACGCATAGTCGTAGCAAAACCAGTCGTAGTCGTTTTCGTAATAGTAGTAGTAGTAGTAGTAGTAGTAGTAGAAGTAGTAGTAGTAGTAGTAGTAGTAGTAGTCGTAGTAGTAGTAGTAGTAGTAGTAGTAGTAGTAGTAGTAATATAGTAATAGCAGTAGCAATAATAGTAGTAGTAGCAGTAGTCGTAATAGTAATAGTAGTGGTAGTAGTCGTAGTGGTAGTGGTCGTACTACTAACAATAGTTTAAGAAATAGTTTGGGTCGTAGTCTGGTCAATCGTAGTAGCCGTAGTAGTAGTAGTTATAATAATAGTCGTATAGGTGTGGTGCTCGTGGACACAGCAGTACTGCGCATACTACTACTACTACTACTACTACTATTACAACTACTACTTCTACTAATACTACTAGTGCTACTACTACTGGCGGCAACAATAGTAAAAACAAGTAGTAGTAGTCATAGTAGTCATAGTAGTAGTAGTAGTAGTAGTAGTAGTAGTAGTAGTAGTAAAAGTAGTAGTAGTAGTAGCCATACGACCTCTACTACTACTACTACTACTACTACGACTACGACTACTACTACTAGTACTACTGCTACTACTACTGCTACAACTACTACTACTAGTAATAAGAAGTCGTAGCGAAATTTGAAGTCGTGGAGCTAACAATTGTGCCAATATAGTACGCGGTAGTACGAGTACTTGTAGTAGTAGTAGAAGTACTAGTCGTAATAGTAGTAGTCGTCGTAGTAGTAATACCAGTAGAGGTAGTAATCGTAGTATCAGTAGTAGAAGCAGTAGCAATAACAAAACTAAGAATAGAAGTCGTGCTCGTCGCACAAGTAGTAATGGAAATGGTAGTGCTAGTAATAGTAGTAGTAGTAGTACTAATAGTAGTAGTAGTGCTGGTCGTAGAAATAGTAGCAGTAGCTGAACACATTGCAAACAAACTTGTAATGCTAATAGTCGTAGCCGTCATACCAGTAGTAGTATGGCTGGTAGTACTCGTAAGCAGTAGCCGAAGTGGCGTCGATAGTAGCAGAACTGGTAGTAGTAGTAGTAGTAGTAGTAGTAGTAGTAGTAGTAATGGTGGTAGTAATAATAGTGGTAACAATATTGGTAGTATTAGTCGTAATAATAATACTGCCAATCGCAAGAGTAGTAACCGTAGTAGCCGTAGTAACAGCAGTACTAATGCTAGTAATAGTAGACGCTCTAGTAACAGTAGTAGCGGTAGTAGAAACAATAATGGAACTAGCGGTCGTAATAATACGAAAGATGGTCGTGCTACCAGCAGCGCCACTAGTAGCAATTATACTAGCGTAGTAGTTGCAGTGGTACGATTAAGAACAGTAGTAGTACCAATACAAGGGGTAGAAATAATAGCCGCAATACTAGTACTAATAACCGTGGTCCTAATAACCGTAGCGGTAGAAGAAATCGTCGATGCAATAGTCGGAGTAGTAGTACACGTAATAACCACCAGGGAAATAATGGAAAAATGGTGACCTTACTGGTAGTAGCAATAGTAGTGGTACTGCTAACACTGGCAATGGTAGTGGCATTTGTAGTCATAATGAAATCGCAATCGCAGTCGTAAGGGTGGTAGTAGTCGTAGTAGTAGTGGTAGCAATCGCGGTGGTAGTAGTAGTAGTAGTAGTAGTAGTAGTAGTACTAGTAGTACTAGTAGTAATAGTGGTAGTAGCCGAAATTGCAATAATACTAAACGACGTTGTAGTCGTAGTAGTCGTAGTCTTCGTAGTAGTAGTTGTGGGAGTCGCAGTAGTAGTCGTAATAGTAGTAGTAGTAGTAGTAGTAGTAGGCGTAGTAGTAGTAGTAGTAGTAGTAGTAGTAGTAGTAGTAGTGGTAGTGGTAGTGGTAGTAATAGTAGTCGTAGTAGTGATAGTAGTAGCCGTTGTAGTAGTAGTAGCAGTAGTAGTAGTAGTAGTAGTAGCAGTAGCAGTAATAGTAGTAGTGGTAGTAGTCGTAGTAGTAGTAGTAGTAGTAGTAGTAGTAGTAGTAGTAGTAGTAGTACGACTAGTAGTAGTACTAATCGTGGTGATGGTAGTAGTAATAGCAGTAGCAGCACCAATGGTAGAAGACTTACTAAGAACAATAATGATGCTGGTGGTACAAGTTGAAGTCGAAATACTGGTCGTAATATTTCTCGTAGCCCTGGTCGTAGTAAGTTGTAGGGCCTAGGTCGTGGTTTGTAACTAATCGTTGTATGTATGCATCGCGGTGATACTCGTAAGAGTACGGGTAGTAAGAATCGACGTCGTACTGATAGTAGTTGTTGTTGTAATTGCAATGGTGAGTGCAGTTGTAATGGTATTAGTCATCGTAGTCGTAGCGGTCGTAGCAGTAGTAGTCGTCGTCGTCGAAATAGTGGTAGTGGTAGTGGTAGTCGTACTACCAATCGGAGTAGTAAGTAGTAGTTGTAGTAGTCGCCGTATTCGTGGCCAGTAGTAGTAGTAGTAGTAGTATTGAATCCTGCAAGTCGTAGTAGTAGTCGCAGACCAATTAGTAGTAGTAGTAGTAATAGTAGTAGTAGTAGTAGTAGTAGTAGTAGTAGTAGTAGTAGTAATAGTAATGGAAGAAGTAGTAGTAGTAGTAGTAGTAGTAGTAGTAGTAGTAGTAGCCGTAGTAGTAGTAGTAGTAGTAGTAGTAGTAGTAGTGGTGGTGGTGGTAGTATTAGTAGTAATAATAGTACTAGTGGTAGTGGCAGTCGTAGTAGAAAATAGTTGTAGTCGCAATAGTACTGGTAGCGAAAGTCATAGTAGTAGTAGTCATAGTAGTAGTAGTAGTAGTAGTAGTAGTAGTAGTAGAAGTAGAAGTAGTACTAAACATAGTAGTAGTACCGCTAGTGTTAGTAGTAGTGATAGTGATAGAAGTAGTAGTAATACGAATGGTATCAATCGTGATAATTGTCCCAGCGGTAAATGTGATGGTAGTGGTTGTGGTCAAACTAGCGGTCGCAACCGCATAATAAAACGAGTAACACTAGTCGTGGCCGTCGTAATCGTAGTCGTCGTGGTGGTTAAAAAAAGAGGAGGGGAGGGAGGTGGTTATGTAACGCCGCCTTGCGACTTCTGATAACTTGCGTACTGACTGGCAGTCCTCTATGAGACCTCCGAAGCAAATTCAAACGCAGCATGGAGCAATCCGAAATTATCAAACAAGACCTAAAATACGTGGGGTTCCTCAGTCGAGAAATTTTCATTTGCGCGTAACGGCCGTTACCCGGGAAGGAGGTTTGGGTAACGTTAGGCGGAGTGGGGCACGTCGGGGCGCGGGGTTGCTGCGATCGCCGTAGCATGCGCGCGAACACCAGCATGCGGCCCCTTCACGCGTGATCGTTACCCTTACCTGGGTGAGGGACGGTTGGGCCCGGTAACGACCGCCACGACAAGGTGGAACAACAACGAAAAAACATCTCGAGACGCCACCGCGGAACAAAACTCACAAGCCGTCCTCGGAGAAGTCCGGAGCGGCCCGCCCCGGCCAGCGGAGGGGCCTCGGACGAAGTACGCGCACCCGCCGTCGCCGAGCCACTCGCCCTGAAGCGCCCGCAGCTCGCGCTTGGCCCCCTCGGTGCTCGCGCCGGGGGCCTTCGCGGGCCCCCCCCAACCGGGGGTCGCACTCGTGCAGAGGTCCCCGGCAGCTTGCAGGCAGTGCCTCCTAGGCTCGCGGGCAGCGCCTGCGCAGCTCCTGGGCAGCGTTTCCTGGCACTCGGCAGCGACCCCTTGGCTCGCGGGTAGCGCCCAGGCAGCTCCTGGGCAACGTTTCCCACGTCCGTGGGAAGCGCCCGGAGCCCGAGCCCGAAGAAGCCGGGCCCTTCACTGTCCTTTTCGGCGGCACGCCAAAGGGGGGAAGCAATACCCCGGGATCTGGGCGTTTTCGCCCGTATTCGGGCCCAAGGTTCCTAGAGTTTGGGCGACCGACATGGGTACGAACCGACAGCGGCCGCTGTTGAGCAAGCGGCCTTCTTCCTCGATTGGGCAACATCCGCGGCGACACCGACAGCGAGTCGTGTTCAAAATGAACAGGAACAGTTGACGGTAATCGTAACCGTTGTTTTCGCATTTATTTTCGACCGTAAGGATAAATGGTGCAATTCGGATAGCGTCGAAGACTCTGGTAGTGATATTTCACGATGTTTGCAAGTCTGTGTCGACGTTTGTTGTTTCAGATGCCCTCCAGCCTTGTGAAAAGCCCGCTGTGTCTTCGGAGGAAGGGCGTGATAGCTTCTCACCGCTCAAGAAATCCATCCCCCTCTGCCTTCTCATATGAGCGCGTCCCCTATCTCTGTAAAGACCAACCGATTCTGAATACAGTCATCGTACTGCCAGAACAAACGCAAAACAAGGAACGGAGAGTGCTTTCCTGCCACGGCCACTTGGCCACGAAGAGGCTTTGTGACAGACCCCAACGAACAACCTGAAAACCAAAACTAATGGTCCTGATGCGGCATGTTGGCTGTACCCCCAAACGGTATGTGGTCCGCGCGAACCTGTCGGTCTGGCGCTGGCCTCCCTGGCGGCGCCTCTGGCGTCACCTCTAGCGCCCTTTGCCAAGGGTTGGAGCCCAGCGCCGAACCCAAGAAATCCGCGCCGACCTTGAACAATGTATGACTGTGTCGCTTCTTGTTTCTCTTGCCTGGTCTGAGGATCGTAGCAACAACGACTTCAGATGAGAAACCATCTACATATACACATTTCTATACACGTATATAAACGCGACGTCGTGGGTCTGCCCCATCCTGCTCATCCTCCCATGGCATCGTTCGGGCGCATATCCCTGCAACGTCTGGCTTCGTGCATGTTCGTTTCTTTGTTTCTGTCCCAAGAAGATCGAAGAGAATCGCACATGGCCCAGGACCTCCTGGCGCTAAGCTCGCCGAGGGAAAGGCACGTCCGTGCGATGCCCGAGCCCCTCGCGGCAGCTCCGCCCCTCGCGCGAGGCAGCAGCAACCGCCGCTGGGCGACCGACCGTAGTCACATCAGTTTCCCCCCCCCACGCTCTTCCCCGCAACGACTGAGTGCCTCTTCTTCCTCCTCTTCCTCCCTCCTCCTGCTCCTCCCCCTCCTCCTCCGCGTTTTCCTTCGCAGCCACGACGTCCCCACCCCCCCCAACCCCCCTGCCCCCTCACCCTTCCTCCTCCTGTCTCTCTCGCACCGCCATCGGGAGTCACCCGGAACGCCTCCGCGCCCGCCGCGCGCCCCCCGAGCGCGACGCCGACCCGGCGGCGAGCCCATTGCGGAGGGGGGGAGGGCGATAGGGAGAAGGAGGGGAGGTGACGGAGCGGCGGGGCCACTCAAACGCAGCCGCGGTACATACTGTAGACGTGGTACTTTTGCCGGTAGCGCAACACACGGAGCACATGGTCAGGCATGCGCAAGATGACTAGGATGATGCCTACAGCTCTAGACGGGCAGACGTCTTGTATGTAGGGTTTACATGTATACCCTTGTCCGTAGCACCGCAATTGTCCGTAATCTTCCCCGCGTCCAGGCAGGCCGGTCTCGCCATGACTATCCGAAGTCGTCGCGTGCCAGATCGTGGTGCTGAGCGATCCACCTGTCTTCGTCTGAGCAGGTGTCGTATGTGTCGATACTTTCTGTGTTTTACGTGAGTCTCGTTGTTCCCGTCGCCGCACCCGTCTTCCTCCTCTCGTCGTTAAGGTTTTGCGGCGAGGAAAAGTATGGGTCGCTGGCCCACGGGTATCCCATTCTACTGCGCCTCGTAGTGGCCGCGGGCGGGCAAGAGCGCTTTGACGACTCCTGAGGAGCCCAGCCGACGAGCCATCGCGTCACCGTCCTCGCCGTGGCGGCCAACGCTAATGTCTATGGGCGCCAGCACGTCGCGGGGCTTGCTGTACGCGGAGCCTGTGGATTTGGAGATGGTCCTCTGATGGCGAAGGCCTCTGTGTCTGCCTGCCCCTCCGCGACCATGGCCCTGAGGAAGTCGAGCCCCTGGAGCGCGGCGTTCATGATGAAGACGGGCTCGTCGTGCTCGTCGATTTCCTCGTCCGTGGCCCTTGTAGCTCAGCCGATGGCTTTCGGAGTTTGTTGCCCCCGTAGCTTGGCTCTAAAAGCTGTGTCCTCGTAGCTGTGTCGGGAGCTCTAGAAGCTCCGCTTGTGGACCTTGTAGTTCAGCTGGTGGTGCTGATAGCTCTGCTGGACGCCCTTGCTGCCCAGTTCGTGTCCTGCGTAACTCAGCACGTGGTCTTTGTAGCCTGGCTGGTGTACCTCGTCGTCCAGCTGGTGGTTCTCGTAACCTGGCACGTGCTCATCATAGCTCGGCTTGTGGATCTCGGAGCTCTGCCTGTGGCCCTCGCACCCCTGCAGGTGGCTCTGGAAGCTCAACTGGTGGCCTTGGTAGCCCAGCTGGTGACTCATCTAGCCTGCGTAGCTCAGCAAGTGGCCCCTGTAGCTGAACTGGTGTTTCGCGTACCTCGGCAGCTGGCCCCAATACCTCGACTGGAGGCTGTCGTAGCCCTCCGTGCGGCCACCATCGCTCAGCGCGTGGCCCTCCCAGCTTAGCTTGTGGCTGAAAGGGGCTCTGATCGCAGCCCTCCAAGGCCCTGTAGTTCAGCGGGTGGCTCTCGTGGCTGTGTCGGGGGCTCTCGAGGCTCTGCTCTTCGGCCTTGTAAACCAGGAAGTGTCACTGGTAGTTCTGCTGGAGGCCCTCGTTGCGGTGTACATATTCTACGTAGCTCAGCTCGTTGTCTCTGTAGCTCAGCTGGTGGCCATCGTAGTTGAAATGGCAGCCCTCGCGGTCCAGCTTGTGGACCTCGAAGCTCGGCTGGCCCTCGTATTCCTGATGGTGGCTCTGGTAGCTGAAATAGTGGTACTTGTGGCTCAGCGGGTAGCGTTCCTAACTCTGCAGGTGGTCCTCGTTGTTCAGCAGATGGCAATCGTAGCTCAGATGGTGGTTCTCTTGCACGGCAGGTGGCCCTGGTAGCCCAGCTGTTGGCACTCGTAACTCTGCGCGCGGCCCTCGTCGCCCAGCTTGTGGCCCCCGTAGCTCAGCTCCCATCTGGTGGCACTTGCAGCTCAGGAGCTGGCCCTCGAGGCGCTGTGCGTTGACTAGAAGTTCGGCGCGTAGTCCTGGCAGCGGTGCTGACAGCCCTTTTAACTCTGTAGCGGCCTCCTGAGCCTTCCTGTCCTCCTGAGCCTCCCGGGCCTCCTCTGCCTTCGTGGCCTCCCTGGACCTGTACCAGTGATGCCAGCTGGCGTAGTTGCACAGGGAGTTGTAGTCCTGGCAGTTCTGGTACACATTGAAATCCAAGTGGTCGCAGTAACGCTGGTAAGTAATCCTATATGCTTTGGGGGTCGCTGTAGCTGGTCACGCTGGCTTGGTTCTGGTATCTGAACAATGAAACGCCAGGTATTCTCGCCTGTGGGAGCGATCGTGGTCTGGCTAGGCTTGCGTTCTCTTGATAAATGCATATGTTCGATCCCCTCTATTCGCGCGTGGTCTCCACATAATTGCCGGGAGGCTTCCACCGAAATCGGTAGGTTTCGCAGACGTTGCTGTAGATGCCCAGTTTGTCATTCAAGAACTGGTGGATGATCCCCCCCCCCAGGATATTCACCCGCAGGCGGATGATCACCCTCTCCCGGATGATCACACGCATGTGGATGATCACTTTCTCCCGGATGCTCACCTTCTCGTGGTACGCGCGCCGCCGATCGCGGCTGGCGCGCTGAAGCTGGCCCCCCCCCCCGGGGGCTTGCGCGCGGAAGGGCGCGGCGCCCAAGGGCGAACATGCGGGGGATAGAGTTCCCCGACTGCCTTTTTGCTCCTCTTCCTCCTGCTCATCCTTCTCCTCCTCATCTTCCTCCTCTGACTCCTCCTAATTCTCCTGCGCCTCATCCTCCTCCCCCTGCTCATCCCCGCCTTCATGGGGCTCACTGGTAATGTGCGATGACTTCTGCGCGCCAAAATCTCTGGCCTGCTTGTACGGCTCCGAGTCTTTCAGCAACCCGTGCCGGAATGGAGCCCCGAAACTCACAAGGCACAAAACCATGGAAGCTCGGGCCGCTCATCCCTTCTTCCCTCCTCTTCCACCCTCTGTTTGTCCCTCTTCCCCTCTCTTCGCCCCTCCCCCCTCCCCCGGTGCTCCTGCTTAGGACCTGGCCGCCGTCGCACTATCCCCACAAGCTGCAAGCTCCCACCAGCACGCCCCACTGCGCCGCCACTTCGCCACAATGGAGCACTTTGCTGAGGTCCTGCTGATGAACAGGCGTTGGCGTCCTCGTGTCAGCTCATCCCTGGCCTGTTTGGACGGCCTCGAGTCGTTGATACAGCCGTTATAGGCGCGGCACCCCAAGCTTACTTTGCTAGGCGCGAGGTCACTTGAATTCGGGCCTTTCACCCCCGCTTCCCTCCCTCCCCGTTCTCTCCCCAATCCCTCCTCCCACGCCCTTGTTTCAGAACAGGTTCCAGATTCAGGGCAGGGGTGTCGCGTGGAGGTGAGAGACGAGTGCCCGCTCACTCTGGGGAATAGATTGTGTAAATCATGCTTGTGCTGTGATGTGATGCTGGGCCCGTGCTTCATCATCAGGATTCGGGCGCGCGGTTCGCGCTCACATTTTGACTGATT